CCCCTGCCTGAAAACTTCCTTTAACATTTCTTGTATTGCTGGTCTGCTGGGGATATTTTTTTTTCCAGTTTTTGTATCTGTGAAAAAGGTCTTTATTTCATCTCTGTTTTTGCAAGATCACTTAGTATAGAATTCTAGATTGACAGGGTTTTTTTTTTTTTTTTTCAGTACATTGAAAATGTCACTTCATTGTCTTTTAGCTTTGTATTATTTTCTGTGGGAAATGTGTTTACTCCAGACTTTATTCCTCTTTACCTAATACCTCTTTTTTCCCCCTTCAGGCTCGTTTTAAGATGTTCTCTAGGCTGGGTGCGGTGGCTTACGCCTGTAATCCCAGCACTTTGGGAGGCCGAGGCGGGCAGATCACGAGGTCAGGAGATCGAGACCATCCTGACTAACACAGTGAAACCCCGTCTCTACTAAAAATACAAAAAATTAGCCGAGCGTGGTGGTGGGCGCCTGTAGTCCCAGCTACTCGGGAGGCTGAGGCAGGAGAATGGCGTGAACCTGGGAGGCAGAGCTTGCAGTGAGCCGAAATCCGCCACCGCACTCCAGCCTGGGTGACAGAGCGAGACTCCATCTCCAAAAAAAAATAAAAAGTAAAAAAGAAAAAAAAAGATTTTCTCTTTACCATTTATTTTAAGCAGTTTGATTAGGTTGTACCTTGCTATAGTTTTCTTTCTTCCTTCCTTTCTTTTTTTTTTTTGAGACAGACTCTTTCTCTGTCACCCAGGCTGGAGTACAGTGGCATGATCTCAGCTCACTGCAACCTCCACCTCCGAGGTTCAGGTGATTCTCGTGCCTCAGCCTCCAGAGCAGCTGGGATTACAGACATGTGCCACTGCACCTGGCTAATTTTTGTATTTTTAGTAGAGATGAGGTTTCACCATGTTGGCCAGGCTGGTCTCAAACTCCTGACCTCAGGTGATCCTCTTGCCTCAACCTTCCAAAGTGCTGCGATTACAGGTGTGAGCCACCGTGCCTGGCCTTCTTTGTCTCTTTTGCTTATATTTCATTGAGCTTTTTGGATCTGTAGATATATAGTTTTCGTGGAGCTTGGAATATTTTCTGTCCTCTTTCAAATATTTTTTTCTGTCCTCCTTCAGTGATTCCAATTACACATTTATTAGGCTGTGTGAAATTTTTCCACAATTCATTAATACTGTTTACTTTTTTAAAACTTTATTTTGAGATAATTGTAGATTCACATGCAGTTAGAAATAATCCAGAGAGGTCTTATGCCCATTCCCCAATTCCCCCCATGGTAACATCTTGTATAACTATAGTTCAGTATCATAACCACTTTCATTTTTTTATCTCTTTTCTATTTCATTTTTGATAGTTTTTATTGCTATTTCATGAAGTTTATTAATCTTCTACAGTGTCTAAACTGCTATATATTTCATCTCAGACATTGTAGTTTTTATTTCTAGAAGTTTGATCTGCATCTTTTTTTTGAGACTTTCTTGCTCTGTTGCTTAGGCTGGAGTGCAGTGGCACAATCACAGCTCACTGCAACTTCTACCTCCTGGGCTCAAGAGATCCTCCCACCTCAGCCTCCTGAATGGTGGAACTGCAGGTGCATGCCACCATGCCTGACTAATTAAAAAAAGTTATTTTTAGAGACATGAGGACTCACTATGTTGCCCAGGCTGGCCTTAAACACCTGGGCTCAAGCAATCCTCTTGCCTTGGCCTCCTAAAGTACTGGGATTACAGGCATGAGCCACTGTACCCAGCCAAGATTTGCATGTTTTTAAAAGAGCTTCCTTGCCTCTACTTATTATGTGCAATCTTTTCTCTAGCTTCTTGAACATATTGAATATAATTATAATAACTTTTAATGCTTTTGTCTACTAATTTTGTCATCAGTATCATTTCTGGGTTTCTTTTAGTTGATTTTTTTTTTTATCATGGTTCATATTTTTCTGCCTTGCAAGCCTGGTAGTTTTTAATTAGATGGTAGATATTATGAATTTTATTTCATTGGGTGCTAGATATTTTTTATTCTTATAAATGTGCTTGATTCTTGTTGTTGGATCCAGTTACTTAGAAATTGCTTGATCTTTTTGGGTCTAGCTTTATTATTAGGCTTTATTAAAAATGCATGTTTTGTTTTAAAAAGAGAAAAAGCCAGGTGTTATAAACAGTGCAACATTTTTTGTAACAGCAAAAATCTGTAACCATTCTAAATATGTATCAGTGACTCTGATTATACTTTAGTAAGTCTGAACAGTGGAATGCTCTTAAAATGGACCCTTATGATTTATTTACTGGTCCTACCAACCTTCCAATTTCAGAGTTGCTTCAGAAATATACTGCCTGACATCTAACTTTTGTTTAAAAAAGATTAAGTCTTATGAGGTTCTCTGCATTGTTGTATTTGTAGTTCTTTCTCTTACTGAGCTGAAATGTAATAAGGGGAGAACAGTAGACAATGAGGGTAGTGAGGTGATGGGAGACAAGATGTTAAGTGTAAGGCTTTAACTTTCTCTCTTAGTGAGGAGGGAAGCTACTGGAAGGTTATGAGCAGAAGTGTACCTTGATCTTACATTTTAGAGCAGGGGTCAGCGAAATTTTTCTGAAAAGAGCCCATATGGTAAATATTGTAGGCTTTATGGGTCACACAGTCTCCGTTGCAACTTGATTTACAAAGAGATGTCTGGCAGGATTTGGCTCCCAGGCTGCGGTTTGTCGTCCCCTGTTTTAGGATTGTATGGGCTGCTATATTGAGAATAGATTCTAGGGGGCAAAAGTGGAGGTAAGGAGTCCAGATGAGGAGCTGTAACAGTAACCTACATCAGAGATCATGGTATACACCCAGCAGATAGAAAGTGAATACACAGAGCAAAGAGGTTCTAGGACTGAGTCTTGGGACAAACTAACATTCAAAAGTCAGAAAGAGGAAGCAAAATTGTCTGATAAGGAATGGCCAGTGATATATGAGGAAAACCAAGAGAGAATGGTATTCCAGAGCAGAAAGATGTCAAGAAGGAGAGTACAATAGCAGAATAACAAATAACCTGATAAAACATGGGCAAAAGACCTGAACAGACACTTCCCCAAGGAAGGCATGGAAATGGCCACCAGAGGTATATGAAAAGATGCTTAGCATCACCAGTGATCAGGGAAATGCAAATTAAAACCACAATGAGATATCACCTGACACCTGTTAGAATGGCTGTTATCAAAAAGAAAGATAATTGTTGATGAGGGTGTGGAGAAAAAGGAACCCTAGTACACTGTTGGCGGGAATGTAGATTGCTACAACCATTATGGAAAACAGTATGGAGGTTCCTAAAGAAATTAAAATTAGAACTACCATGCAACCCAGCAATTCCTCTTCTGAGTATATACCCCAAGGAAATGAAATCACCACCTCATAAAGATATCTGCCCTCTCATGTTCAGTGCAGCATTAGTTTACAGTAGCCAAGATAAGGAAACATCCTAAGTGTCCATCAATGGACGAATGGATAGAGAAAATGTGTATACAATGGGATACTATTTAGCCTTAAAAAAGGAGATTGTGCTGTTTGCCATAGCATAGATTTGGGAGGACATTATGCTAAGTGAAATAAGACACAGAAAGACAAAATACTGCATGATCTCATATGTGTGGGGAAAAAGTCATATATACAGTGCTATAATGTAATAAATATAAAGAAATAAAACTGGTTACCAGGGATAGGATGGGAGGAAATGGGAAGATGTAGGTCAAAGGATACAAAGTAGCAAATATGTAAGAGGAGCAAGTCTAGAGATCCAATGTACAGCCTGAGGACTGCAGCTAATACAATTTTATTGTATTCTTTTTTTTAAGAAGGGGAGAGTAATCGACTGTGGTAAGAGCAGCTAAAATCCACTTATTTCACGGAAATCCCTAAGGCAATACAATTGTGAAATAAGTGGATTTTGCTCTTCTTACAAAACTAACTGTGAGATGATAGATATATTAATCTGCTTCATTATAGTAACCACTTTACTTGTCTATATGTATCCCATAACATCATGTTGTAAACCTCAAATATACACAATAAAATTTCTTTTTTAATCTCATCTGACCTTGTAGCTTTTGACACAGTCAATTACTCTCCCCTTCTTAAAAAAGGAGATTTTGTTGTGTATATTTGAGGTTTACAACATGGGACAAAAGCCTAAATGGAGTAGGTGTGAGAGAATATAGGAGAAGAGAGAAAGGGAAAGGTGGCTGGATATGCAGGTCTGGGGAGGATTTTCAACAATGGTTAATGATTATAGCTGATACATGTTCAGCAATGAACACAACAAATCTCTGCCTTCATGAAGCTATGTATCGGGTGGGGGCAGGAAGATAGACAATAATAAAAAAGAAACGCACAATTATATTAAACTGGCTACGAGATGTTGCCACTCAGATATCATGTGGACATTTTGCATTCAACACATTCAAAATGACATTATCTCTTCCCCTCCCTTTCCCCACCTTTTCCTCTGTTTCTCTTCCTTGTTTTATATTGTAAAAATGCCACATTCAGGACAGAATCTTGTGACTTACCACATTCAGGACAGAATCTTGTGACTTATCCCTTGCAACTGTCCTGTCCTCAAACTCAGGCGTGTTTTATTTTTTTCTTCACAAACAGTTCTCAGGTCTCCTCCCTCCTTGCAATCTCTACCTTGGCCCATGGCATTGATTTCTCTTCTGGATTGCTACTTTACCCTCTTAACTAGAGTCTCTGACTTCATCCTCCCCGTTTAATCATTTCTCCACAATGTAGCCAGAGTCGTCTTTTAAAAATATAACCTGAGAGTTTTAAGGGACTTACTCAAGACCACAACATTCATAGAGCCAAGATTTGATTTCCTTATGGCATGCTCCTCTTGGGGCTGGGCTTTATGTAGGGGATAGGAAGGAGCTAGATCATCATAAACTACATAAGATATGAACATTGCCAGAAATGCATTGTTTATGCAAAACTGACAGCTCATCAATTTGTCTGATGTTGATTTGTTTTTGTAGGTGCACGGGTTTCATATTCCAGAAGGTTGGAAAGTTGGCTGCAACAGCTGTGGGAGGTGGATTTTTTCTCCTTCAGGTCTGTATGTGAAATGTTCTCAGATGTTTGGAAATTCCACCTGCCCATTAAGGAATGTGGTGTGGGGAGTTGTAATACGGTCCTGGCTGTGTACTATTTTAAATGCTAGTGACCGTTTGAGTCAAATTTTATCCATTGTACTAGTAAATGTTATTTACCCAGTCACATTTTATTTCCTCATGTGGGGACAGAAGTGCAAATTCCTTATCATAGCTCCCTTAAAAGAGTTTTTAAGACCAGCTCAAATATTAAGCAGATGTGATTTCAAAAATATAAGTGTGCTGTGATGATTTAGTCTCATATGCTAATATAGCTAGCTTTTACAGAGGGGACGTGGAGCATGTGATGAGAAATGGGAGCTAAGTGACAGTACACTCAGATGTTGTCTGCTGTCTCCTTGACCCATAGTTTCAGAACCAGTGGTTGCCAGTTCTTTTGAGACTGCTTAGGAGAGACTTACAAGCAAGACTTGAAAAAGAAAAGGGGAGCAGTTTCTCCAAAAACAAAAGAAAACTGACGTTTGATTGTATTAGGCATACATTTCTTAGCTCTGCGGCATTGATATTCAAACCTGGCTCCGCATTGGAATCACCTAGGAGTTTTTAAAAGAGCCAACCTGTGCCACCCCTGACCCACAGTGTGATTTCATTGGAAAACTTAAAACTCCTGACGTGATTCTGTCATGCAGCGGTGCATAGAGCTGCTGTGTTGTGGGAGCCATAACTTGCTGAATCATGCCAGAGTCTCTGAATTCACAGCCCTTTGTCTCTTCCCACAGTTGGCAACCCTCACTTTTGCAAGGTAAGTTCTGCATTAGCACCATGACTGGAGTGAGTTTTGCAGATAGGTCAGGTGAAAATCAAATGTATTGAAGAGGGAAGCTGGTAACTGGCTGTATCTGGGTTGAGTGTGGTATTGCTGCATGACAAATTCCCCCAAACCTAATGGCTTCAAATAATGATCACTTTATTCTCTCTCATGGTTACAGGAGTTTGGGGAGGGTTAGTAGGTGCTTGTGGATCAGAGTCTCATGTGGTTACAGGCCAGATGATCAGAGGATTGGGGTAGGTCTGGACTTGTGGGGCCTCTTTGTCTCTCTGTCTCTGTTTGTCTTCCCTCCTCCTCTCCTTACTTCCCCCATGTCCATAGTCTCAGTGCTCTTCCATGTGGTCCCTGTGCCGGCATAGGCTTCCTCACACCACCTTGACCTCAGGACTCCCAAGCACAGTGCTCCAGAAACGTGGTGCAAATTGCATCTCCTTTGTTGCCCAAGCCTCAAAAGTCATGTAGCCTCACTTTTGTTGGCTGCTTCCCTGTAGGCTTGTTAGGTGCTGGCTCTGTTGCTGGACAAGTCAGACGCCCTGCAAGGTGGGGCCTCTCCTCACACCTCTCTCTCCTTCCCCTTGACCCTTCAGGTGGAAGTGCAGTAACATCTCTATCCCTGTGGTTTCCCTTATATGCTGCCCCAAACTTCATAAACATCTTAATATTGCTTTGAAATGTCTTAATTTGAGTGTGTCCTCTCTTTCTTTTTGGGCCCCTGACAGAAATAATTGGTATTGAAAGTGTCTCCAGAAAGGCACCTCAAAATGAGATTTTGGTGTTGGATAATTCCAATATTCAAGGGGTACAGGGACACTGCTTTGCTGCAGAGGTGAAACGTGGAGAATCGGTGGCAGGCACTCATGTTATCTGTCACCAGAGGAGTGAGAGCAGGAGGCAAGCATAATGTTGGGAGATCAGTTATATCACGAGTTATAGTTTGACATAGGGATACAGTTTCCTTTTTTCCATACTGATAATTGAGCAGAATTTAGTGAATAATTCTTCCCATTCCCAGCATTTGCAGCATTGTCTCTTTCATATATCAAAATCCATGTATGTGTGGCTGTGACTCTGGTTTCTGTGTTCTATTCCACTAGTCAACTTTCTATCTTTATGACAGTACTAAAGCTTAATATTTGGTAATGAAAATTTCTCCACCTTATTCTTCAAGAGTGTTGCAGCTACTTTTGTGTTCCTGCTTGTTCATCTAAATTTTAGATCAGACTTGTCAGTTATTTTCAAAAATCGTGTTGAAATTTTTATTGGAATTGCATTGGAACCATGTAGATATCTCTTATGATATTGAGTATTCTATCTGTGAACATGGGTTTTCTCTCCAATTATTTAGGTTTTCTTTAATGCCTTTGAATAGACTTTTATTATTTTTCCATATAGATCTTGTACATCTGTGATTCAGTTTTATTACTGGATACCTTATAACTTTAGTTACTCTTGTGGATGATAGAATTTTTAAAACTACACATTCTGATTCATGCTAATGTGTTGAAATACAGTTGATATTTTATGTTGTTCTTTCAGCCAGCCACCTTGTTAAAAAAGTCTCTTATTTCTGACTTGTCTGGGATTCTTTTGGGTTTTGTCTATAAAATCATTTTATGCCGTCTGTGAACAGTGAAATTTTTCCTTCACGTCTTTATGAATGTAGTTGCTTTTTCTTACCAAGTTGTAGATCATTTCCAGCACTTTTTGCAGCTTTCAGAGCCCAGCAACAACGCTTGCCAGTTGTCAGTTTATTCGGCTCCCTCTACTTGTTGTGCTGCAATGGAAGTAGGATGTTGAGCTTTGTCAGTAGAGGGCGCTGGAGGGACCTTGCAGCGGGAGAGGCTGCTTTTCCCAGTTCTGGTGTTGCTTTGCCCCTGCAGTGCAGTCCCCCAGTAATGCCAAGGAGAGCAGGAAGTCACCTTGCAATCCTGGTCTGGGCCACCCAGGGGACTTCACCACCACCATTACTACTTTTGCACCCTTGTAAAAAATCAGTTGTAGTTGTCCAAGTCTGCTTCTGTACTTTTTATTCTGTTCGTTGGTCTGTGTCTCTCTTCTTCAGTATCACCTGCTGTCTTGACTGCTGTAGCATTATAGTAAATCTTAAATCAGGTAGTGTGATTCCCCCAACTCTGTGCTTTTTCAGAATCATTTTGGTGATTCCAGTTCCTTTGCCTTTCCATATAAATTTTAGAACCAGCTTATTTATGTATCTATAAGAAATCCTGCTGGGATCTATAGACAATTTGGAGAGAATTGGGCATCTTATTTCTGTGTTGAGCATTCCATTCCATGTACATGTCGTCTCTCCATTTATTTAGGTTGTCTTTGAGTTCTTTCTTCAGCGTTTTGTAGTTCTCAGTATACAGATCCTGTATGTTTGATTTGTACCCAATATTTAATTATTTTTAGCACCTATTGTTGTAAATCATTTAAACATTTTTCATTTCCAGTTCAAATTGCTAGCATTTAGAAATTCAGTTGGTTTTGTGTGAATTTGTATCCTGTGACCCTGCTAAACTCACTTTTTTAGTCTAGGAGTTTTTGGTTTTTTGTTGAAGTCTATGAAATTTTCTATGTAGACAAAGATGTCTATGATTGGAGACAGTTTGACCCTTGTGAATCAGGATGCCTCCTAATTCTTTTTCGTGCCATGTTGTGCTGACTCTGAGTTCACTGCAGGGTTTTTTTTTGGTAGATGTTCTTTATCAAATTGAGGAAGTTCCCCTCTAATTCTCTTTCTCTGAGAGTTTTATCATGAATTTGCGTTGAATTTCGTCAGATGTTTCTTGAGTCCTGCCTTGAGGTTAAGCCAGGCGATACTGCAGGAAAAGCAGGAAACACGCCACCAGTTTTGTGGTGCTTTGGTTTTCTGGTCTTTTCCAATCTGCATGCTGCTGTTTTTATGTAAGAGCCTTCAAATAGCTAGTCCATGTATTCTCTCAGTTTAATAGCAGGATTTTGTGGGATAAACAGAGTAAATGAACCAGAGCCGCCTTTTAGATACAAACGTTGATACTCAACTATGTGGTTGCTATAAGTAATTTGTTCTTTTTAGTACTAAGTAATATTCTATTGTGTAAACATGATACAATTTGTTTATCCATTCATGTATTGATAGACTTTTGTGAATTTCTAGTTATAAACTCATAAGTAGAGCTACTATGGCTTGATTACTTGTGAGGTTGAACTTTTTCCTTTTCGTGGACACTTTCCTCTGTGAATTGCCCTTACCCATTTTTAGTGAATTTTCTTTCTTACTGATCTCTATAAGAAGTTCACTTTTTTTGAGTCTCAATGTTTTGTTTATGATACACATCACAAGTATTTTCTCTAGTCTGTTTGGGTGACTGGTGGTGCCATTAGCTAAAATAGGGACTAGAGGAAGAGCAACAATACAGGAGGAGACTCTAGCAAAGTGATGACTTTTAGTTTCGGATATTTTGAGATATCCAGGTAGATATGACTTGCCAAAAATTTGGTAGAGAGAAGTGATATTGATAGGGCATTGATTGGTCGGCTATAGTCATTCTCTTCATTCCTTGGATGATACTAATCCATCATCAAAAAACTATATGCTTGAATCAGATTTACACTGAGTTTTAGTGTTTCTGCCTGCTGTTTTTTTATCAAGGGAAATAGGTATATCCTGTAGGTGTCTTTGGATGTGCTTCTCTTAATACCCATTTATATGAAGTTGCTCATGAGAAATCTCTGTGGGGCCAGATGCTATATTTCTTCCTGTTAAGCAACAGTAATTACTGCCTGAATGCTTTATTCTGTTCACATTGTCAGGAAACTGACACTCATGGGCACATTGTCAGGGTCATTCTCTGGAAACATTTGTATTGGCTGTAAGGTCCATCTCTTCACCCTACATCTTGATCCCCCACCTTGATTTGCATCTTACATAACTCTTTGTAAAAGGGTTGTAAGAGTATAAATAAAAGAATTGCCAGTAGTTATTTCTAGTGCCAGGCATATTGCTTCACATATTGGGGGGATGCTGAGTAGATGTCATCATGATACAAAGAATCAAATGGCAGATGTCTCCAAAAATGGAAAGTCAGAGGGTTTTGAGAGTCTACTTCAGGATTTATCCTGATGAAAAGAAATAACAAATCTGTTTCTCATTTCTTGTTGTCATTATTGTTGATACTGTAGCTTGCAAACCATACTGGGTACATCAAAGTTGACTGGCAACGAGTGGAGAAGGACATGAAGAAAGCCAAAGAGCAGCTGAAGATCCGTAAGAGCAATCAGATACCTACTGAGGTCAGGAGCAAAGCTGAGGAGGTGAGACTCGCATTGTTCATGTGTAGTGTGTGAACAGTGCAGACAATTTTGTGTGTACAAAAACAAGGCTTAACCCTATTGCACCATATCTCAGTGATGGACAGGGCTTAAGCATTACAAAGAACTTAGAGTAATGAGACAAAACTAACTTGGAATATCATCACTTCAGAGCATTTTTAAAAGCTGGATAATTAAAGTGTTTGGTAACCTTTGTCTGTGTACATTTGTGGAGTGATTATCCCTTTAACCAGTTCTTGTAGGAATGTAGGGCAGCATAGTATGATTTTTGTCCCCATACACACGTATCTCTGAAACATTTATACTCCACTTGTTCTGCATATAACTAGTGGAAATGTCACAAGTATTCAGCTCCACTGTATATCATGAAAATAGCCATAGATGATATGTTAAATAAGTGGATGTGGCTGTGTTGCAATAAAACTTTATCTAAAAAGAGGTTCATATTGGATTTGGCCCATGGGCTGTAGTTTGCTAACCCCTGATCTTGTTCATTAAAGCCAAGTTAGATTATAACCTGGCACTGTAGGGACAGAAGTTCTTACTTTTTAAAAGGATATTTTTTGCTGCTTCGTTATTACCTTTAGAAATATGTCAGATGTCCCAAATAAATAAGTACACTGAACTGGGGAGAAATAAGCAAGGATCAGGGTGTCAAGAAGATAGCTGGTACTTTCTATAGCCTAGAGTGATGAGAGATTCTCCCATTATCTCACTCTAGCCTCACAGGGAAAACAGACAGATTGAGTGCAGGGGAGAAGAAATACCCTGTGTGTGCCTCAGGCTTCTCATGTTGTGAGTGGCTTTTCATCCTGGTGATTGGCAAGTGGCTGGTCAAAGCTGGTGCCTTTACCCAGAGTGGGAGGGTGACAGAGGTGGGTATCTACAGGAGCCCAGAGCCCAAACGGTTCCTCTTTCCTTTCTTCCTTCTGTCTCTCCTCAAAGTTATGAAAGTTATACTTTATTTCATGAAAACTTTATTCAAATGTTTATAAAAATAATACATGGCTGGGCACAGTGACTCACCACAGTGAGTAAAAAAAAAATTTTTAAGAGAGGTCTCACTCTGTCACCCAGGCTGGAGTGCAGTGACACAGTCATGGCTCACCGTAGCCTCAACCAAGCGATCCTCTGACCTCAGTCTTCTGAGTAGCTGGGTCTATAGGTGTGTACCACCACACCCGGTGAAGTTTTAAATTTTTCGGAGAGACAGGGTCTCCCTGTGTTGTCCTGGCTGGTCTCAAACTTCTGGGCTCAAGCAGTATTCCCACCTTGGCCTCCCAAAGTGCATTACAGGTGTGAGCCACGACGCCGTGCTGAAAACTTCTAAAATAATACTGCAAGTGTATATAATAAAAAGTATAAAGTTAATATTTGATTAGAACCAACTGTTGACTCACAGAGGGAGTTTGTTATAAAGTAACCAGATGATTTGGAATTTCACAAATTTGTGTGTTCCTGTTCCTGGCCTGGCACTGTCACAGGCCCTGGGGATGTAGTGGCTGGTTTTCTTACTCATAGAGCTGGTGGTCTGATTTGAGAAATAGGATGAAGATTTAGTTCAGTATTTAGCAACAAGATGACTTCAGTGAGAACAGCTTAGTGGGGTGGTGCAGTTGAAAGCCAAATTAGCAAGTTGAAGAAAGAGTAGTAAAAATAATAAACTAAACCAATTTTTTCAGGAAGTTGTATGATTTTTTTTCTTTACCCCAATGGCAGATGACAAAAGTGCTTCATTTAAGGAAATGTAGAGGTCCAGGAGAGTTGGGGGAAGAGTAGAAATGAGGCAGGAAGACATAGGCATAGTTGGAGTAAGGGCTTACTGGAGGGTTAGGAGACAGTGGTCCTAGGAGGATGGGGTGGTAGTGTGAAAAATGTTAGGGGAATGTCAGGGTGTGAGTAGCTTAGTTGGTTTGGAGATGAAGTCACTGTATTTGAGTTCAAGAAATGATCAGGCGAGGATGTTGGATGTCTTGTTCATATGAACACTTTCTAAGGTGGTGATCATACTTAGGAGAAAGAGGAAGTCTGAGCCAGTTACCAAAATTGTCTCTGAATTTGGAAGGGTGGGGAGTGGTCAGGAGATTGGTAGAAGACAGACTAAGGAGCCGTAAAGTGTGTCTGAATGTACGCACTGAGTCTCAGATGACTGGGAGCTTTTCCAGAAGGGTAGAGGGGAGGTGGGAAGCTTTGGGAACTTAAGGAAATAAGAACCTCACCTGTTAATCATCTTAGATGTGGTGAAGTGTGAGAATGAGAATTTATAGCATCTACCTGGGAGCAGGCATAGGTATAATAGAGATGATTCTTAATATTATTAACATCCTTAGCAAAACAACCCATTGTACTATCTTCTGTTTTCAGGTGGTGTCATTTGTGAAGAAGAATGTTCTAGTGACTGGGGGATTTTTCGGAGGCTTTCTGCTTGGCATGGCATCCTAAGGAAGATGACTTCATGTTCATTGTTCCTGTTTTTTTCCAGCCAGCAACCTCTACACTCCATCATAGGACATCGAGTCCCTCCTCCTCCTTCCTCCCTGCCATGGCAAATCCGAGTGGCTTCTATAAGCGTCTGCTGGTACAAGTTAATGTGGCACCATGAGCCTGATGGTGGCAGAAGAGACAATAGTCCTTAGCTCTCCTCCCAGTACACCCCCTACTTGGTCAGTCTGTAGGTCAACAAGAAAGTTCCTTTACCCCCATGCAAGACACTTATGAGAACACGTTGCAAGATGGCTGACTGTGGAGGATGAGTAGATCCTGAAAGGTTGTCCCGAACTGTTGATTTGGAAAAGAAATAAGCACATAGATAACCTTATTGTGTGCTGCATGGAAAGGAACTGAATACATTTGCCTTTAAGCATGAAAGATTTTGGTATCTTGGTGTCTACTTTCTTTTTTAGTTGGCTTTACATTACAGAAAGAGCTATTTAAATGTGTTATAATTATGCCGACAAAATTGGCAGCATAATTATTATAATTGAAAAATCCGATGTTGTCCAGGAATGTTTTCTACCATACAGGATAATGTATCTCATGGCTGTTTCCAAAGGGTTTATTTATTGTAAAACGAGTGATTTAGGTGGGAAAGGGAAGATCTTGGATTTTTATTTCGTAGAAAAGGTTTTAAGCTTTGAAATGTGAATGAAGTATTCTTATCAAAACATTAGGGATGGCCATAACTCCTCTGTGCCACTTCTATTTTTTTTTTTTTTATCTAGTTAGTTTGAAATATAACATTTAAACCAGAATTTTAAAGAAGTAGCTTTCCAGGGATTCCGAATTAAGAAAGATACATATTTTATCTTTCTTGTGATACATGTGAAATAAATTTCCGTCAAGTGTAATCTACCATCTCATGATGACCACAACCTCTAGAATTCTTTAAAAGCTTACACATGCACACACACGCACACACACACATGTACACACACAGAATCTTAGCATATTTTGCTGTAGTGGCATGTTACCATGTCTACAGTCCCAACCAGAATATCAGTCAGCTTTCAGAGGGTAAGACTTCTGTCTTCACCATTATACTCACAGGGCTTAGCACTTAATAGGTGCTGAGTATTTGTGGAATATATGAATAATGACTTTATAGAAAGAAAACTCACTATTAAAGGTTAGTTTTACTCAGAATTAATCATTAATCTTGGAGATGATCTCTTGTGAAATATGAGTGTGTTTCTAAGGCCATACATTTAAAAATGTTTGCATTTTAACCCGTCTTGAGAATGATGTATTGAATTTGAAAATCAAAACTACCAGTGGATGTGTGGAACTTTACAGAAATCACCTATTTGTGTTTTTCTCCTTACATTTAAGGAAACATAAGCCATTTTGTTTGCAATATGTATGAATCATCTCAAAACCATAATGGTATGAGCCTCTTTGCTGTGTATTTTTCTATAAGAACTTATTTTTTTTCACTTTTTATTATGGATGCTTTCAGGAATATATAAAAGTAGAGAATATAGTGCAATAATCCCCCCATGTATCTATCACTCACCTACAACAAAATTATAGCTATGCTCATTTTTACCAATTATTGTGAAACAAATATCAAAATGTCATTTGATCATATTTCAGTATGTATCTCTAAAAGGTAAAAATTATTTCTAAAAATCATAAATATAGTACCTCATCATATCAAACATTAACAGTAATTACATAATATCCAAAATCTGATCAGTGTTCAAAATTTCCTTGTCTCAAGTATTTTACATTTAGTTTGTTTGAATCAAAATTCATGCAAGGTTCACATTGTATTTGCATGATTTGAATAAGTCTCTTAACCTTATATATCCTCCTCTAAATTTTTGTTTGCTATATATTTATATCTATATATATTGATATGGATATATGTAGTGACACTGAGTCATCTGTTTCCTGCTTCCCCATACTCTGCCTCTCCTGACATCTGGGTCTCTTGGGTTATGCCATATATGGTGATAGTGACTGCAGCCACTTTAGCTGTGTGACTTACCCACAGCAATGGGATGGTAACAGCAAAGCTAACCAAAATGCTCTGTGCCCCTTTGGGTTGCATGTGGGGAGACTGGCCACCCAGTGCCTCTCCAGTGGGGTAGGGGTTGTCTTTTGGTGCATCTGTTTTTCCTGTGATTATTGGTGAGTACAGCAAAGATTAGCAGGTGGTTCTAAATTACCTTGAATAGGTTGTAATAGTCTGGCCTCAGACTCTATCCTGATTGTCTGAATTAAGATCTGTAGGTAGGTCTCTCCTGAAGTTTTTTCCCAGCTGGTTGTCTCTAGGACTGTGAGGGTCATGGTTGAGGTCAGTATTGCAGGTTGGCCTCATCCTTTTAGTATGAGAATGGCTGTGAGTTCTGCCCACTATGTGAGTCCACGGCGCCCACTTGGGATTGTACAGAGCTGGCATGGAGGTTGAACACGCTCAGCTGCACACCTTGTTTTCAGTTCAGCTGAACCATCAGTGAAGTAGGCTCAGCCATTTAGGGGTACCTGTGAATCAAGGCCCTATTGTGCCAGCATCTTTGTTTCAGGTGGTGAAGTGGGAGTTAAGGTTTCCCCCAAAAGAACAGCTACCACTCCTCCAGGCAAAACCGAGATGATTCAAGGACCAGGCAGCTCCACCTTTCAATGCACTATTTTCATTTGACTGGAGAGGCCTGCTGAGCTAGGCACGTATTTTCTCCAGTAGCAGAGTCCAATAACGTTCCTAATTAGTGGTGGTGGGGCAGAAGTTTTTCTTTGGGAAGAGCGTTGTTGTTGTGTATGGCCCAGAGAAACTTGACTTGGAATGTGTTCTGAGTTTCATCGCCCCCTTGTGGCGGCGACGTGGTAACACCGCACTCAAGGCTTGCAAGTTGTCAACCAATAGGATGGCATCAGGGACCCCTTCTGTCCCCTTCCTGGCTACTGTGGGTCCGCCCTCTTTGAGCCACCCTTTGACCCAGCGTCTCTCCTGCAATGGGACCTGGTGGGATGGGGACTTGGAGTATGCTACAGGAGAGGTAGAACGTTTGAGTCTCTTTCCAAGGTTCTCCCCAGAGTTGGAGAGCAGAGACAGATCCAGGGGCACTTTCTGGCGGCTGCCTGCTCGGGCTCAACAGATGGAGTCCAATGTTTCGGTCTCCCCCAAGGATGTGTATCCTCATTGCTGACACGGGAGCTGGGTCGGGGGAGGAATGTGGTGGTGGGGACCCTTGCCTGAGCAGCCCATTGTCGTGTTACTGTCATTGTGATAATCTATTAGCATGACTCTCCTCCCAAATGGCCACTTGTTTGCTGCCATCTCCTGCCATTCAGCCTCCAGATATTCATTAACAGGACAGTGGGGTTCTTGACTCCCCCACCACTGGGATGACAGTCCTTGCTACTGGATCTGGGCAGTTACTGTCTCATGGATGCTGGCAGAAGACGATTCAAGTTGGAGGACCAGATTCTACAAGGAATGAACTCTTGCATAATTCTAGCCAACATACTCTTGGGGTGGGTGCTTCTGGTTTTGGAAAGCAGAGTTATTGTGTGGTTAACTATTGTAAGAATAGTCTCTCCATCATTCTTTTGTTTGATGGTTGCCAGAAAGATGGGCATAACTAATGGCTGGGCTCTTATTTGGAACAGTTTGGGAATCTGCTTGAAAAAAAAATGGTACACTGATGGATTTGAAATTTCTGAGTATCATCAGTGTTTCATGATGATGTCAATTTCTTCTCGGAGGGAAGCTCACAGCCAGTTTTGGACCCCAGATAAAAATTTGACTGCTGCCCTCTGCTCCCTCCACCAAATTATCAGCTTCATTTATCTGTCATGAAATCCAGTATGATTTCTTGGAAATCAGGCCCAGAACTAAAATACATTTTCTGCCCAATTCTCTAAGAGGTCACACTAACATTTGAGTAATTGGGCAGAAAACCTATTTTAGTTCTGAGCCTGATTTTTCTAGAAGTCATATGGTATAGCTTATATTTCTGATGCTTGTATTCTTTTTAAGGGTCATGAATCTTAATACTTCTTTTTAAAAAGAAAACAGTGTTGCACTTTTTCACATTTGTATAAAGCTTTAAAGTCAGCTTATTGACTTGTCAAAACTGTCTTTTTAAATTTTAAGATGGTAAGAAATGACATTATTGAGAACAGTGGTTTTCATCCTTGCTTGCACTTGGCAATCACCTGTGAAATTTTAAAAACTACTAATGCCTGGCTCTCATCCTACAGATTCTGATTTCACTGGTCTGGGGTGCTGTTCAGGCATCCCAAGGCTTTAAAGTGTCTTAGCTTTTTCTGATGAGCAGCTGAGACTGAGAACCACTGAAGGACAGAGTTGGAAGCTGGTGCTGAAAAAATGAAGAGTTTTGCTTAACAGGGCTTTAAGGCCTTTTATATTAAGTGCCATACAACTTCAGATGCCTTCTGAATACCGAACACAAGTGTAATATTATAGTTCATTAAATGTCTTAGGAATCGCATGGAGTGAATGCAAGGAAAGGAGTTGTTGCACTGTGGCAAAGTGGAAGAGCAAGGGCTTTTTCTAGCTAAAAGGTCAGTCACTAACCAAGTGATTAAATGTAGCATCACTAATAGCCAACTTAACAGGGTTTTTTTTTTTTGGGGGGGGGTGGTTTCTAAACTGGGAGATCATAGTTTTCACCTTCCTAGAGTTCTTTCCTTAAGACTGACATTCAGTGTTAATGTTGGTCCCTAGCAATAAGAAGCACTCAGTAAATGTTAAGCCTTTTATAATGGCTATTTTATTTTTTTGTATATCATAATAGTAGCTAAGAATAATAAGAGTTAAATTAATGTCTTCAAATAGATTTGTTGACTTAAACTGAGACAATCCTTTAAAGGAAAGAACTGATTTGAACCTTTCAAAACCGAAAGAAAGTAGTATACTGATACAGTTTGGATCCACTGAGTCTCATGTTGAACTGTGTTCCCTAATGAAGGTGGATCCTGGTGACAGGTGATTGGATCATGGGGGCAGGTTTCTCATGGATGGTTTAGCACCATCCCCTCTTGGTACTTTACTCATGATAGTGAGTTCTCATGAGATCTGGTCATTTAAAAGTGTGTGGCACTTCACCCCTCACTCTCTCTTGCTCCTGCTTTGGCCATGTGGAGTGCTCACTCCCCTTTTGCCTTCTGCCATGACTGTTAAGTTTCCTTGCACTTGCATCCCTAGAAGCCCATCAGATACCAGTGCCATGCTTCCTGTACAGCCCATGGAACTGTGAGCCAACTAAACCCCTTCTTTATAAATTATCCAGTCTCAGGCATTTTTTATAGCAATGCAACAATGGACTAATACATATACTTTAGCGTAAAAACATTTAAAAGAGTCTGAAACTGGAGTAGTTAACTCAGTAAAAATAAGCAATAAAACACAGAAAAACAATCTATTTGATCATGCAGTGATTCCTAAAGTAAATCCTAGTACCACTATCAACTGATAATTTTAAATGTAATTTAGATTTGTAGATGGTGTAACATTAAAGTTGTATAATGTTTTATTGTTTTATTATTAACACAAGACTTCATTTAAATTTCATGGGGATTTAGCTCTGTTACTCTGGTTTGTGAACCAAACGTCTCTAAGGCAGCATTTTTCTAACTCTGGAGAGCATTCACACACACAGATGCAAAACAGGTTCACTTAGGCTTTTTGAAAGCTCTGAAGTCTGACAGGAAATTAACCTGTTCACTAGCATTCCCCAAACTTACCTGAACACAGCAGCTTTTTTTTTTTCTTCTGGTTACAGCAATTCCTAGAAACACTCTGAGGAATGCTGCTTTAAGGAAAACAGTTGGTCTCAAATAATCATGGTATTTTAACATCAGGAACCTAGCAGAAATTGTTCCTGCTTTTAGTCATCTTTTTCTTTTTTAGAGGACGGACTGTGGTGGTTCAAGCATCCATTTGAGGAAAGCAAATGGCCTGTTGCATGCTGCCTCCTCCTACTTCATAAAGTGACAACTGTCAATAGGCTTCATTCAGCAGCTTTGTATTAATATTGTCTGGATCCTCTGTAACAGGTTTTTATTATTACGATATGAAGAATAGATAAACCAACTAAGTTTGAATTATCTTGCTGCCTACCTGACTTCCAATGAAAATTTTTTCTTCAGTTCCTTCATGATAAATTAAGGATCATTAAACATTATAAGCATCATTTCTATGCCTTTCTTACCACTGACTGAATGAATATTAAGCACTTCTGGTTAGTCGCTGGGGTGGGGATGCAAAAGCAGAAAGAAATGCTCTTACTGGCATCTGGAAAGACACTTTTTGCTCTGTATTTTTGGAAGTACAAAAGGTAATGAGTTAGTTTAAAGGAAACTTTGAATTAATTTAGCATGTAATCTATAAAAGGTATCAACATTGGCTCACACCTGTAATCCCAGCACTTTGGGAGGCCGAGGTGGGCAGATCATGAGGTCAGGAGTTCAAGACCAGCCTGACCAACATGGTGAAACCCCATCATCTACTAAAAACACAAAAATTAGCCAGGCGTGGTGGCGCATGTCTATAATCCCAGCTACTCAGGAGACTGAGGCAGGAGAATGGCTTGAACCCGGTAGGCTGAGGTTGCGGTGGGCTGAGATTGCACCATTGCACTCTAGCCTGGGTGACAGAGTGAGACTCCATCTCAAGAAAAAAAAAGGCATCAAAATTGTGATGCTGGAAGTGAGTCCTTTCACCTAACATACCTCACAGGACTTAAGTTTGATGAATGGCACTAGTGGTCTGAACTTCAAGAGAATTCATTAATACCCTATATCTAATAGTCTTAAAATACATTTAGTACAAAACCAAACTTTTTCTCTTAAACAGGTTTATTTTAGCAGCTCAGTATATTACATTCTACATATTTGTCTTTTAATGTGTTTATATTTCTGCCTGTTTTGCATAGATGGCATATTCATTAACTTTTATAACTGACTTTTTCATTTGCTATTTGCTGCTACCTGACCTGAAGAAAGTCAGGAGGATAAAAAAAATTCATCTGGTGGAAACATGGAGCAGCACTTCAGCAGAACTTTACTTTGATGCAGACTTCAGTGTTAGGTTTTCTTCCTCTTCTTTTTCAAATCCTGAACAGACGACGGATCTTCCCTTGGGATACTGAGCACAACACTTACGCAGTTCTTGGATGACAGCCTGACACTTTGATTCCATGTAGTTGTTGGCTGAAAAACATACAGGCAGAGTCTAGTCATGATCTCATAGGACTAAGGTACAGGGAAGTTTAGATCAGTGCTTCCACCCCTTTTCAAAACTTTCAGTACCTATGGAACTGGAAGAAAGAAGATATACCAAAATCCACTGAATTATTTCAAATTTAGAGACCTGTCAACAGGTTGATTAGGAAGAAAAGTATGATTTACAAAGTGGTTTTTAGATTTTAGATTTTTAGATTTTAATATATAATTTCCTTCAAGGTTGAGTTGATAGCATGCACCTTTTTCCAGGACATTGGTTTTTAACATCATTATTATTACTGGTCACTAATTTGATGAATTAGGAAAATGCACCTAAACCACACATTATTTTGCATACAGTTTAAGCTGATTGTTAGACCTCCCCTACTAAGGCTGTGCATCAGGAATTGGCAAACTGCAGCCTTAGGGTCAAATTCAGCCCGTTTTTACAGCTGGGAGCTAAGAATGGATTTTAGATTTTTAAAGGGTTGTAAACACACAACACATACACAATATATACAACAAAGGCCTTTGGCCTCCAAAGCCTAAAATATTACTTGTTTGGCCTTTTTCATAAAACATTTACAGATCCCTACCATACATAAACACTAAGTTAAGGAAGACCTGACCTAAAAGCTCTAGGTCAGCTGAAGTTAATGAGTCCCCCAGTACTAAAATGGGGTACATAGTAGTTAGCTCAGGATAGGAAAGACAATTCTGATTAGAAGGGCAGTATAGCAGGGTGGGTAACAGTCCAGATTTGGAGCTAGACCAAGGGTGGGGTTGTGGGATGTTCAAACTGTCACCATACCTCTTACTAGCTATGTGACCCTAGTCAAATTACATAACTTCTGTATCTGTTTTCCCCTTTATGAAATGGGGGTCATAGTAGCATCGACCTCATGGATGAAAGGCTTAATATGTATAATGTCCTTACAACGGTGCTTGTCATCTAGTGAGTGCTTAATGCTAACTATTAGTCTTTCCAGTTCTCAATCCTCCCACACTGTGCCAAGGGGGTGTCACCAGCTCTTTTTAACTTATTTTTTCCCTTAGCCATGGGTTATTTCAAACACGGTAAGGATTTATTTGGGAGAAGGAATTCAATGCAAAAAACTTTTTCCTTTTCCTTAAAGTTGGAGGGAAGAAAAGTTTAACTAAAATGGCATTATTATACATCCAGATTTTAATCTAAAAGATTTTATAAAATATTGCTTACATCAAAAAATGAAAAGTCCAAGAATGAAAGCTAAAAGTCCAAGGAAATACACAAAGGATTTCTTTGGTGGTGAATCTTTCGGGGAACTCTGAACATTTTTCCTTCATACCTTTCTATATTTTCATGACCGTCCATCTCTATCTATTACTTTACTAGTGGGGAAAACTTACTAAAAATTTTTCAAATTCAGATAGCCTTATAGTTTTTTCTATTTGCTCTTCTGGCAATAATCATTTACTGATTAGAAAACTAAAATCCTCCAACATTTGGTCAAACTTAGTAGTTGGACAAATGGACAAATGACCTCAAATATGCTTTAGTTGAGATTCACTTCTGCCTTTAAGTTAGCTGATGGCTTCAGCAGCCTGAATTCCAATTGTTATTTCAACCCCACCTCTTCCAGATTGCTTTTAAAAAGTGAATTGTCAGCTGCAGTGAAGTATAACCAACCAATTTAAAACTAGCCTTTTAGTAAAAACAAACAAAAAAACCCTTTTGCTTAGCTCAGTAATTCTCAACTCTGGCTGTGCATTAAAATCACCTGGTTAGTTTTCTAGCCTGATTCCCAGCCAGACCCTAGCCCCAGGAAGTCTGAATTGTTCTAGGTAAGTTTTTAAAGATCTCCAGGTGATGCTAATCACCTGGAGTGAAAACCCCTAGCTTTGATCACATTTTTATTTTCTCCATCTTTGATGATACAATGAAGAGAATCTTCAGGATAATTACATATATGTTACATTCTTAAAAAAGAGTTAATATAGATAAAAGAATAATTGGTCTCTTATAGTTAGTTCACAGTGGAAAAATATTTTTAAAGCATTTTACAATATACTACCTTGTAAACATTTCTGTATCTCACAGGCTTGCTTCTGGCACGGATCCTTCTGCGGCATATCCAGAAAACTAAAACAAGAAAAATGATTTTTATTTTCCTTTTTTCCATAAAGACTTTAAAGCCCCTCTACGTGGAATTTTCTTCTGAGACAAGCAGTATGCCCTTACAATTGCTGGAAAATAATTACACTAAAAATACTCTTCCCAAACACAGGATGAATCAACTGTATTTTTATAATATCCATTTCATTAGGCTTGGAAGATATAAATAGCTTTACATGGAAGAAAAAAACCTTGAATTCAATCAACTCTTTCTGAATACTGTAAACCAACGTTAGGCTAGAGGAGCCGACGGCGCAGCCTGGCTCTATCATTCGCAGAAGAAACCCTTGATAAATGATTAAACTCCTTGAGCTTTTTTTATTACTCATATATAAAATGGGAATCATACCTACCTCAAAGCATTGACAGGAGGATTAAATGTGATAAAGTATATAAGGTACATACAATAGTGCCTGGAAGGCAGAAAGGACTCAATACATGGTAGCTATTATTCCCAAGACTTTTTTTTTTTTTAAAGTAAAACCTTACTTTTAATGTATATAAACTGTTATGACTACTTTAACTCAGGAAATTTTTTACAAGTAGTAAATGTTTTCCTAGGAATCAGCAATATTTGGTGTTATTACTTCCTGAGAAAGGTGCCAGTTAAGCAGCTAAAATGGTTTTTCTTGAAGTTCTTATAGAAACCAGCTTATTTAAAATATCTGTAATCAGAGAATGAATTTAAGAACCCACAATTTTGATCAGCAACTTCCAGTAATTTGAAGACACGATTTCAGATAGAAAAAAAGGCCCAGAAGCCTTTGTAGCTAATTTCATCAATGCATATCTCTTTTCAGAGCCCTCTAAATACTCAGTAGATCCAAATTAGGTCAGTACTGGGATGGGAAACACTGGAGCAAAACCTAGGATATTTACAGGATGGGAGAAGGAAAGGCAGGTGAATTGCTGCAGGGCAAATAAGCGACAAATAGATGTTGATGCTGCTAGGAGCTGCTCTCTTCTCTCTAAATCAGTACCAAGTCCTTGGTGATCAGGGCATCTGTTCTGTAGAAGGTGCTGACTTTTGTGGGATTCATCAGATCCCAGGTCCAGCCGATGATGTCCATTAAGGGTTCTATGGCAATTTCCAAAGGAGTCAATTTCAAGTTACGGATCCTGACTAAGTGCTTTTGTTGACTTGCTTTCTGCCTACGTAACCTCTCTCTGCAGTTTCACTTGCAGTATTCTTCATGACCCTTCCTAAACTTCTGTTTCTTGAGCAGTTTTTCAACCCACTCCCTCCCCCCAGGCCCAAGGGTGGGTGCACTGCAGTAGTGGATGAAGTGATTGCCAAATACTGAACAGAACAAAGGAGCATATCTTCGTAGAATCCCAGCACCTGGAAAAAAAAATCATTAAAATCACCACAACTGAATAGAGCCAAAACAAAGAGGGGGAGGACGGAGGAGAAATAGAAATACATACCAGGTTAGTCATCAGGCAAAAGCTTAAGCAACAGCTCCTGTACTCCCCTGACCTGTCAGAAAAAGAAAAATTTATGGAGTACTCTGTTACGAGAGCCTCAATACAATGGGAAATAATTAAGCAACATGTGTACCATTAAATGATGCTGTATCTGCCACAAGCGAGAGTTGTTATCCATGTAGCGCTCCTCCGGGTAGAGTTGCCACATGAGAGGTAGCTGGGAGGTAAGAAGGTGACTTGGCCTAGCTGCGTCACCTAAGGGAACCTGAATTTGCTGGACTCGTGCCCTTAGGAAACTCGTCTCCTAATGGAAAGGAATGATCAAAAATAAAACCAAAGACTTCAGAATATTGAGACTGGAATAGAAACCAAGTTACTTGAAAGCAAAATCAAAGAAATAAGCAAAATATAAACAGTTACCTCTTCCACGACGGCCACCCACGTGCGCTGGTATTCGTCGCGGTAGATACCCTCTTGGTGAACCCAGAGGTGATCGGGTGGAGCCCCCACATCCTCTCCTGCCATTCTGGGCTTTGGGTTCCAATTCTAGCCCTGCTTTTCTCCACCTAAGCCTGCAGCACCCGCGCACAGGACACAGGTGTGACTTTTTGGGTTTGAATGAACTCACCAGTAAGCAAGGTGATCTGGTAGTAGCAACCACTAACCAGAACCAAACCTCATATATGTCTATTTGCACAACCTAAATAGAACCAAGGACATCTGAAGCTTTCTGCAAGACAACTGAAGTGACACTCAGGCAGAGCCTCAGGTAGTGCTGCTGACTGCAAAGCGCTCAAGAATTTGGCTAGGTGAGGAGTTCTGTGGAAATGTAGGACTAGCACTACAGGAAGCTGGGCAGTGGTCTCACACGTACTGCATTCACAAGCGGTGTCTGGCAAAATGTAGTTAGCAATAGAATATGCAAAGAGCGTGCCTAAGGACACACTTATTTTGGCAGGAAGGCAGTATAACAGACACATGCATGCCATATTCCCCAGGTAAAAGCCACTTCCAAGCAGTTTCCATTTTAAAAGGTAAGATTCTGAAGGACATATATGCATGGCTTTCAGAGTTGAAATTGAAAGTTTGTTTTAAGGGCAAAGGATCTATTTGTTTATTTACTAAGGATCTATTTATTTACTAAGAAAGTTTACAAATAGCGGATGGGCATTTCTAGAAGGGGATTTTCTTGTTAGGAAAAGTAAGCTAGCTTCATGGAATTTCTGAGCTGCAAGAGATTTTGGGGATCACAGTGATTAGGAGCTGAGTGAGTGCAAATGAAAGTTATCCATCTAGGTCCTTGTTTTATTTTAATAATTCTGCAGGATGTTACAGGAGCCCATTTTTCCATAGAGGACTAGGTTTAAATTTTGACTTCCTAAGCCAGAAGACCAGAAGCACATTTGAGAGGTGTAAAGGAAGCATACCTCCTGAAGCATTTGAGTGGTAGGGCAAACTCTTCTCTATAATGATCCTCTGCCCAAGCCCCAGATCTCATTTTAGGACCTCACAATAACTTGATGTGCATTTGCATGAGTGAATCTTCTAGACTTTACTCACAGCATTATAGCGCAGTTGTACTGTATTTCTACCTTTGGCCAGAGTATAGATACGGCATTGGGGGAGCTGCCCCACAAAACAAAGACCTCCTATTCTCATTAGGTGGGAAAGGAAATGCAGCGTGGGAGGGTGGTTGTTAGAGTCCTCAAAGTGAGACTGTCAAGAGCAACCAGATGCTTCACCCATTATACCCTGAGTACGTCTGACTCTGAGCCTGGTGCAAGCTCCTGTCTTAGTTTTCATACATATGTGCTCTCTCATTTCAAACTCATCTAAACTTTCTCCTTAACCAAATCCTGATTTCTCTCAATGGCAACACCACCATTCCTGATCCTGCAGACTCAAAACTTTTGAGTTTTCTTGGATTTCTTCCTCTTATTCAGTTGCTACATCCTATATGTCACCAATTCCAGCAGGCACTACAACTACCACTGCAGTTGAGATCAACTTTCCCCAAATACCAGGCTCATTTCTAGCTCCATACCCTTGCTCTTGCTTTCCATTTGCCTAAAATGCCTCCCTGGGCCTCTCTGCCTATCTTAAGTGCTATTATAGCAGAGTCCAGGTGCCTGCCTCCTCTATGAAAACTTTAGAAAATTCTTGCCTCTTTTGACTACTGTAACATTTATATTTAAACAAAACCACCTTACACATTTGCTTTGCTTATTTCGCAAGTCCTGTCTTCCCGAAAGCACAGTACTGTATACTGCTCAACAGCAGGAATGACACAGTTCTGGGCACCCCAAGTCTCAGATACTGGTCAAGCAATGTTTCTGTGAACAGGTGTATATGTATGGTGGGTAGGGAAGGGAAACAAAGGAACGCCACATTGGTTGTCATGATTGGCTACGTATATGTGGGTAGAGATTGATTCTCTAGGCATAAGCCTCTGGCTATACATAATTTTTTTCCAAAGCCCCCCCTTTTTTCCCATTTGCAGATACAGTTGTTTTGCCTCTCCTCCTTCCCAGAGCTTTGGAAAAGAGAAATACAAATAAAAACCTGGTAAATACTAATGCCAAAATAAAATATATTAAATTCGGATTTCAAGCACAAAAGACTTAAATGTGGCCAATAACTGTTTTAAAAAAGTGGAAACCATGTGTTAAGGGTTTCAGGACCATCTCAACTTCATAGATAAGTCCTAGCAACAACCAACATGTTGACATTTAAATTTGTTTTGAATGGAAAACAAAATTGCATTGGTTATACTGACATTAAAAGGAAATAATGCCAGTGGAATAGAGGGCAAAGAGATTGGAGATGATGGTCTGAGTTACTGAGTCACTACAAAGAGGCCTATGAGTTACTACAAAATATTCTCAGAAGAAAGGCAGTGTGATGTGCTGCTGTGACCCGAAGGTCAATATGCTGGGCATCAGAGGGATGAGCCTGGGAACCCCTCTCAGCACAGTATCCTGGATTTGTGTGTGCTACCATTCAGAGGGCATGCAGGCCCAGAGAAAGACAACTGCAGTGACCAAGGGACAGAGAAGTCACCATATGAGCACGAACAAAATCCTCAGCACAGAAATGCAAAGGCTGAGGGAGAGGGATTCAGATCAAAGTCTATAAAATCACAGGTTTTATGAGTGGAAAAATGTGATTCTTAGAAAACTTGCTCCCAACATTTTCCTTGGTCAAATAAGTTTGGGAATCTTGGAGACTCATAAAGCACATTAGTGTAGTAACTGTTCTGGCAAGTTATGCAGTAAAGAAACTTTATGTTAACATTTCCCAAATTTATTTGACTAGAGAACATTTTATTTGCACATGATACTTGTTTACAAAATTCAGGACTTCTCGAACTAAGACGAATCTTTTAAAACCTCAACATAGACTTAGGTACAAGGTGCAATACAATACATGGAATATAAACTTGTGCAACTCAACTCAAGGAATACTGCCAGCTGCAAATACAAATGAGTTCCAAAATGTTTAGATAACTGCATAACTTTATCATCCACTAGAAGAGATTGTCCCCATGAGGGTCACCTTGATTTCGGGGCCAGAGAGCACACTGGCCCAGACAGACAATTTCTTAGTAAGGCATTTTGTAAATTAGGTTTTAAATGGGTGACATACAAGATAGAAGGGCTCTTAGGTAGTAATCTAAGTAAAACTATCATTTTTCCTTTACAGAATAAATTCTTTTGTGTCTATTAAAAATAAGTATAGTTTGCTTTAATTGCCAGGTTGATGAACAGTTTCTAAACATAGATCAGTTGAATACACTTATTTTATTAGAAGTCAATTAATAAACTCGTCCAATTACAATGAGTGAAATTACCAAGAACACAGGCCCAGGCCTGTGTACGAGTCCTGAGTCTGTCACTTACTAGCTTTGTGACCTTGGACAAGTTAACGTCTCTCCACCTCAGCTTCCTGAGGTGTAAAATGAGAATTAAAGAACATATTAATCACGATAGTCTTTATTTAGCATTCCTATATGTTTACATATATTGACTCATTTAATTTTCACAATCTTCATAGGGCGCTATGAGGTGGGCAGTATTATTATCATCCCCACTTAAAGGTGAGGAAAAGTAAGGCACAGAGAAGTTAGGTAACTTGCTCAAGGTCACACAGTGGGGAAGTTGTTGAGCTTGACTTCAACTGGGGCAGTTTACATGTACCAGGCATATAAATGCTTAGTATGTAGCATATAATAAGCTTGCCATAAATGTTAATAATTTTGTTCTACTCCAATTAAATGCCTGGAGCTGTAAAAGGCAGCCATGAGCATTAGAAAAGTTAGTGAACCTCATTCTGGAATATGAGATTGACTACCGCCGATAACAAACAAAAGGTATTTTTCTTCTTGAAAGTGCCTAAAGGCACTATATCCCATCACCAAATATTAATATCATAATAATAAGAACAGCCGTTCCTGCTCCATCAGGACAGGGCATACTAGCCACAAACAGTAACTGAAAATAACATATGATATAAAATTGAAACAAGAGAAAATTTAGACAGGTCCAATGTAACTGCACACGAAAATTTTCCAACCTTCATCATGATCAAATTAATTATAGAAAGATGTGCCATGTGATCCTTACAGATCGTTAGGTAAAAACGGAGGCTGCTGGTGTGCACATTACAGATCGTTGCACTGGATGGGGACCCTATGTGTGGGGAGACTTGGGTTGGAACTGACTTGGGAGAAAAGAGCAAAGCATCAACACTTGAAGTAGCACCTTGGGAATGTTCCCTTTCCAGTACTGCCATACCTGCCTGGCTTCAAAACTACACAAAGTAGAAAACCAAATCAAAGACACGAACACGGACGGGCTGTGGAGGCGGCACGGCATATATTGTGCTTTGATTTAGAATCGCTTCCAAAATCCACGTGTGATTCCTAGACTTGTGAGTTGGAAGATCTGTACTTTTATCCTTGGCACGTTTGACAAACCTCGAAATAAAATTACTTTTACATATATTTTCACTGTCTGATATCATCGAGACAAGGAGACCCGAGGAAACTTGCATTCTGGATACCTAATGTGATACATCCGAACTTGAATAAAAACTGAAGTTCTCCATTTCCCCTTCCCTGTATCCAACAAATAGCTACCTAAAAGCCTTTGTAGAAAGTAGCAGCAGCCAAGCTTAAGAGTGATACTTTTTCAGATACAGTATAACACTGTTTCTGCAAAAGGTTACTCACATGAATATAATGTTTCTTGGGCTAATTAATCCGCCTTGAGAACAGCTAGGCTAAAACTTCCAGGTCTCCCACCCTGGGCCACTCAAGCCAGGATCGCGACGTGAGCCCGGGGTGAGCCGAGGGGCATCCCGGGCCGAGGTCACTCGAACCGAAGTTATGAGGCGCGGGCCGGCAACCGGAAGTGGTCCAGGGAGAGTTGTACGAGATTCGGGGGCTGTGACTTGGAAATAAAACAAAATAAAATAAAACCTTAACTGTTTTGGGACTGACTTTCAAAAGAGCGTCCCCCTGGCTCAAGAGGCCGGCGTTCGCGGAGATGTCGTCTTAAAGGGCTGTCCCCCAAGCGTGTAGGCCGCGCACGGGTCTCCTTAGCGGGCGGGCAAAATGGGCGCCGGTACTCGGGAGGCGCCTGCCCAGGCGCCCGGGCGCGGCTCGCAGAGTACGTCCGCCAGCGGCCCCAGAGCGCCGCCTCCCTGCCGCCCCCGCCGCCCGGCCTGACGCCCGGACCGCGGCCGGCCACCGCCCTCCGCCCCGACGGCCACGCCTGCCCCAAACCCCGCGGGCGTTTCCCAGGTGCTGCTGGGCGGGCCCCGCCCCCGCGCGCCAAGGCCCGCCCCCGCGCGCCAGCCTCGCGCCCGCTACCCCCTCCTCGCCCCCACAGCCCCGCCCCCACAGCCCCGCCCGCTCCCTAAGCCCCGCCCCCGAGGAACCCGCGCGCCGAAGGCCAGGCCTGGGCGGAGCGCAGAGCGCGGGGCGCTGGGGAGGCTGCGCCGCAGCACCCGGTTGGTCAGGACCAAGTGGGCCCGAGGCGGACGTGAGAAGGGTCGGGCCAAGATGGCGGTGCAGGTGGTGCAGGCGGTGCAGGCGGTTCATCTCGAGTCTGACGCTTTCCTCGTTTGTCTCAACCACGCTCTGAGCACAGAGAAGGAGGAAGTGATGGGGCTGTGCATAGGGGAGGTGAGTAGCTCTGTTAGCCTGTCCGGAACCCTGCTAAGCAGTCCCAGTGTGTCCCAGGGGTGGGTGCCGGCAGCTCCCAGGGCTGCGGAGGCCACAGGCATACTCGATTTAGATCCTTGGACACCCTTTACATAGCTCTGTCGCGGGGATCCCCGTTTCTTCTGGCCGCCTGACACTTGTTTAGTCTCCTGCGAGTCCCCGGCGGTATGTACAGGCCCCGGGAGCCTTGCCCTTTCTCCTGTAGCCTGGGGCTTCTCTTTAGATCTGCGCTTTTCGCCCCCTTGACCAAAACTGCAAGGCAGGTCAGAAAGACACTGGAGTATATTTAGGACGTCCGGGTATTACGATGCAGCAGCTGACCACGGTTAGAGCCCCTTGCCTCGTCTAGTCTTCAGTCTAGGGAGCAGAGATAACAACCAAAGCATTTGAAGGGTATCGAAGAGCCTAACAGAAGGTGCGGGGCTTGAAGGAAGCAAAAGTTTCCGCTGCATTGTGTTGAGGAGGGGCCAAAGAGGATGAGGAAATACAGTTTAACTATTTACGGGTCTAAAGTAATTCTCCAGTCTTTCATACCGTGTGCATGAACACATGACCTAATTGTCATATAATCTGCATATATATACGTCAAACAAACGTAATGTGATCAATAATGTTTTCTGCTTTTTCCCACTCTAGTTGAACGATGATCCAAGGTAAGACCGTATCTGTTTACTCATATCTTATAATCTCTAAGTCATTGTTAACTCAAAATTATGGCGACTTTGACAGTATTGTGTCCGCATCGTGTCTTAAATTAATTACCATTATCGCTCCGGGGCTCTCTCGATGCAATTTGAGTTCCACCCCAACCTTGAACTTTGGTTTCTGCCTTACCTCCTATTGAGTTGAGATATGGGATAAACATCTTAATAAGCATTATCATAATTGTTGGGTTTTAGGGGTGAGACAGGGTCTCGCTCTGTCACCCAGACTGGAGTGCAATGGCGCGATCTCAGCTCACTGCAACCTCTGCCTCCCAGGTTCAGGCGATTCTCATGCCTCAGCCTCTCGAATAGCTGAGATTACAGGTGCCCGCCACCATACCTGGCTTTTTTTTTTTTTTTTTTTTTTTTTTGTATTTTTTGTACAGACGGGATTTCACCATATTGACCAGGCTGGCCTCGAACTCGTGGGCTCAAGCAGTCTGCCCACCTCGACCTCCCAAAGTGCTGGGATTACAGGCGTGCGTGAGCCACCTCGCCTGGCCTTGCTCAGTGTATTTCATGTTCTGTCTCCCCTTAAATGCCAGTGAGATATCAGGAATTTTCTTTGTGACAGAGAGCATATACGTTTAGAGGCATTTCCCCCTGTTGATCCATTCCTTCACGTAAATTGACAGTGACATTGCCTTTCCTCCTGATGGACCTCAGTGATCTCAGAGATCCCCAGTAGCTTCAATGCTTGATGTGGTGAAACCTTTCGGTAACGTTTTAATTTAAACTTCACATCATAACATAGTGTACTTCTCAAGCCCACCTCCTTAATTCCCAGGATTCCAGGAATTTAGCTTTGTCTATGATAACTTTATACACTCAGCCACTTGTGCATGTGTCCCAGATTGCTTCTAACAGATATAGAGAGTGCAACTCTAGTCTCAATTCAGTTTCCCTCCTCTTCTTTGGTCTCTGCTAAGATTTCATTGCGAAAACAGTTAATCCTGTTATTTTGCTTTAATTCCTTTTTATATTCCAAACCCCACTTCCTTTTTTTTTCTAATTTATTCCCAGTAGGAGTGACTCCAAATTTGCATATACTGGAACTGAAATGCGCACAGTTGCTGAAAAGGTATGTGTGCTAAAATTTTGCATGATGGAAACTTGCAGTTGGGGAAAGATTTCTGTAGTCCAGTGATCTCAGCCAGAGTATGTGGTTTCTGGCTGGATGAGATATTCTTTCTAGTAAAATCAGAATCTACTCACTAGGAATGGGACCTAATTTTCTGTTCTTTGTAGCAAATTATCTCTACTTGATCAAGATTAATAATCACTGTCAGTACCACCCTCTTGCTGCTCTCCTTGCTGTCACTGCCTGTTTTCTGGCCCTTCTTCCACTTTCCTTGAGACTTTGGCATGTGGTTCACATCACTATTACCTCTTTATCCCGAATTCCAACATCTACTCATGCAACCCTCTCTTCTTAAACAGGCAAACTAACCATAGCATCATAGTTCTTAGTCTACCTTGACTTTTTTCTTGTCTGCACTCCTACACCACCTTTTTTGGCATGCTCTAGCCTTGATGGTCTAGCGTAATGCTTCTCACTTAATCGTGGTATAGGACTGGTTATTGTTTTCCCCAATCTGTCACAGACTGATGCTTTTGTAAAATACAATAAAAATGAATTATTTCCCCCTCCTCCCACCAGGTTATCAGGCCACAGCTTCATCTACTTATACAAACTTCACCTTAATCACTTTGCATCTCTTCGCATATCAAAGAAATAAGTCCTCTTCCTATCCAAAGCTGCAGCTTCTTCAGAGACCCTGTTTATCAATGTTCTGTCTCTTTTCTGGGTCTTTTCCCTGTCACCTGGTTCTTTTCTCTTAGGATAAAAATATGCTTAAATTACTCTCGTTTTCAGAAAGGAAAGCTACTTCTTAATCCTGTATCTTCCTGTAGTCACTACTCTTATATCCTTCCTTTAATAGCCAGACTTCGTAAAAGAATGGGCTACAATTACTACTCCTTCACCTTCCCCAGTCAAACCCACTGAGGTTTGGTTTCTAATTCTACCTTCAGTGGATTATCTCCTGGTGCTTATCTTAGTCTTTCTCCTTGAATCTCTGAACTTTCATGGGTTTCTGTTGGTTTTGCTGTATTCCTTTTATTCCTGTTTCCCCCTTCCCACAATCATTTGTGGACTCCTCTTCCTCCTCTGTCTATGCATTAAATATTACTCATTCCTCTTAGGCACTGAAATCTCTGACTAAAGTAAGAAAGAGAGAAAGAAACAATTCACCGTAGGCATCAGTTACTATGATACATTCCAAATCTTAATAATGTAATTTTGTTATTCAAGATTTCATACCCTCGTCTTGAGTTTTATGTCAGTTTTTACTGTCTAAATTAGATATTAAACTTTATTAGTTAAGCTGCCTTTTTAGTATTGCATAGTGTATTTTTTATCCTTTTAGTTTTAGCCTTTCTATGTACTAATATTTAAAATGTGTCTTATTAGCGGTAAAAACTTTAAAAAAAAATCCAGTGTGATCATCTTTTTAAGTGGAGTATTTAGTTGAAAAGCAAAACAAAAATAAACCACAAAAAAAAAGAAATATAATGTGAGCCTCGAATGTGATCCGTATGCATAATTTTAAATTTTTTAGTAATCACAGTAAAAAGGAATAAATGAAATTAATTTGAAGGGTGTATTTTATTTAACCTAAGTATGTGAAGGATTATTATTTTAATATGTAGTGAATATTAAGAAATGTTGAGATATTTTACATTCCTTTTTACTTTTTTGTGTTGTCTTTGAAGTCCATGTGTGTTTCATACTTGCTGCACATCTGAAATCAGACCTGTTGCACAGTGAAAATCTATAGCTGATTTCAAAGGCCTCCTCTCAGATTTCACCCTTGTCCCTTCAACATCTGATAATGTTAAGCCCACTCTTTCCCCTGAAACTCTTGTACCATTTCATTGTTCTGGTTTTGCCTTCTTTGTCTTCTTCCCTGGCCCTTCTTGTTCTTCCCCACACTAAATGTGGCCACTCCCCTTGATTCAGGCCAAGACCTCCACTCCCTGACTCCACACCTTTTTTGTCCACTCATAAACGCTTTATTGATTCCTGCATTGATTCTGTTTGAGTCTAAGCTATAATCTCACTTGCCTGCTAAAAATTGCCATATTGTATATCTCTCATCCCAGATTATCTCATCTGAAAACAAGCTCTTCTTTCCTTCCTGACCCTTTCTAAACTTAGATCTGCCTCACATCTTCTACCTAGTTTCAACCTTGAAACTTTAGAATCATCTTTGACCGTTTCCTGTCTACCATCACCCATGGTCCATAAGCTACCAAATGTTGTAGATTCATTCTTTTTAATGGGTCTCAAATCTGTTTCTTCCATCTCTGCCATCTGCTTAGCCCAGTACTTCATTGTTACTTCATCTACAGTTTATCTGAAATAATTTTTTTCCTTTGAGTTCATCCTGTAAATTATGGCTTTTGGCATTTCAGGTCTTGTACATTCTCACTCCAACTTTCTTAGCCTTGCCATCTGCCATTTCACCTCAAGCTCTGTATCTAAATCAGTTGGCCAAGTTGTCTCCCAGACACCTCATTCACACTTTACTACTTCCATTTGGCACCTGTAGAAATGTGTTTCCCCCACTTCCCACAGTAATCAAGGAATAGATACACTTGTCTGCCTTTTCTGTGAAGATTTTTTTCTTTTTTAGATTTATATCCTGCTTATGTAAAAGATTGCTTTTCTAATGTAAGTG